GAAAGCATTCTTACTTTACAGCATTTTTTCACACCTGCCTAAAACATTTGCACAGTACTATCTATATACACACACACACACACACTTTATCTTAAATCAGATTTACTAATTTACCTTTGTCAGCATAACTTTAATTATTTCACATTAAAACTGAATTATAAAATTAATGAAGCAATACTCATATTGTATCCAACTGAATAAATAAGTTGAAACTTAATGCAAAATTCTGAAAAAATTTGAACCTTCTCAGATTTTTACACTACCACACTGCAGTATTTCTCTCATTTGTTCTATTCCATGTCTTATTTACTATTAGAAAGTAGCCTCTTAACTGAATATAGAACAGTTGAAGGACTCCATATTATCTTACTATTTCTGCTCCAGCAGGCAATGTTTGCTGTCCATTTCAAGGCTGCTCAAGAGACTTACCAGAAGAGCCACAGAACCAACTCCTCCCCGAGGGGTATTCATAGATGCGACTCCACTCCACTGGTCTGATTCCATGTCATATCTTTCCACCTCACTGAAGCAAGTGTTATCATCTAAGCCTCCAATGGCATAAATGGGGCCTCCGAGAGAGGCAAGAGCAATTCCTCTCCTAACAAAAAGCATACTGTCACTTACCCAGTTGCATTTTAAAATAAAGCAGCAAATGTATCTATAAGGTATAAGTGATTTTATCTTTAACTTATTTAGGTAAGACAGTTCAACAAGTAGTATAATAAAATCCAAATTTTGTTTACTAAAAATAGTTTACTAAAAATAAAAAGAACATATGCAAGTCACCAAAAAAATCCACTAGACTACTGCAAACAAATCAATGACTTCACCCATCAGTGAGCTTCCAAAAACCCATTCAAAAAGATCCATCTTAACTGTCTTATGGAAGACCATTAGGGAGCGTGCCAGATCCAACTCCAGTGGCAAGGTTTTCCATACTATGGGGCTTACTACAAAAAAGGACTACCAGCCCATATCATTTCGATTTCTCTTGGTGAGTACACACAGACTCTAGCTGAAGACGACAGCACTTTAGGTATCATTCAGCCAAGCCATATAGGCATTTATAGGTCAGCACCTGAATTAAACTTGGAAGCCTATCAGTAACTGGAGAATAGATGCTATGCTCACATGGCAGCTCTCATCCACTAACATCCTGGACACTGCATTTTGTCCTCTGAGTTGTCTTCAAGGACAGCCCTGTGTTGATAAGGATGCAGTAATCGAAGTGTCTGGCGATGAGGCCAGGAATTACTGTTGCAAGTCTTCCCAGTCCAGGTAAGGCTGTAACTGATATGCAAGCCTTGGCTCAGCAGAAGTCCCCCTGCTTCCACTTACTCTGGCAAACCAAAATTTGCAAGTATCTCCACAGTAAAAGAACTGCAGGCTTTACACAAGTCTGTGCTACATGATAAATGATCTATTTTCAATAAATACATTTTAATTTCAATATCCCTTCTGCATGTAGAGTTCCCTTTACCATGACCAATCTACTGCCAACTTTTAGAAGCTAGAACTTTTACAACTTGTACTGACTGAAGTATATTCCTAACCCACTCTAGCTACAAATGACAGATTTAATACAACTTTTTCTAACTGATTTTTTCCTTTTAATCTTAAAGCCTCATCTACATTTCAAAGTTCCATTATTCTCTTCCCGTATTACAATTTATTTTGGACAATGAGAAGGGAGGTACTGGATGTATTTAATTACTTGATCCATGGCTACTATGTGATAAACAATGTTCCACATGAATCTACCCATTTCTGATAAGGACGGTACAGCTCTAAATTTACCTACCTTTTGGTATTCATTGATGCTTTCATCATCCATTTATTTGTGAGAGGATCAAACACTTCCATGCTGCCTAGGTGTTCATTTCCATCATGCCCACCCACAGCATAAACTTTACCTGAAATAGCCAGAAGATCAGATGAGATAGTATACTACTTAAGAAGAAAAATAAGAGTAGCCCATTAACTTATTTTTATTGCTATTAAAAATAAGTTTATTACAACAGCTGAAATGTGGCATAATCTGCACAGACATAGCCAATTGTAGTTAAGGAATGTTTTGCCAAGTTAACGGAAATGTTCCTTTTTTTTTTTTAGTAAGAACTTTTTCTTCCTGTATGACTTGCTGAATTAAAACAGTTACAAATTTAAATATTGGCAAATCTCACTTTGCTATTCAAACATTTAATCTATAGGATCTCATTATAGTTCTTGGAACAAACATCCATCCAACTAGCATCTGACATGGGACTGGCTGGAAGGACATCACACCACTCTATCCAGGCTTCCAAATTTGCTGAAACAAAAAAAATTAGCTTGACTTTTCTAGGGATCTTTTCTAAGCAGATGAAGACTTCTTTATTCTGGCACACATTTGACCTAAGAAATTTTTTAATTCTGACATTTTGTATTTGTTGTTTTCTCTGTATGTATCATTACTACTGATTGCTCCTAACAATTTCCATTATGTTTATGAGTTCTCTTAGATATTTTCTTTTAATGAAAAAGCATGATTCAAAAAGCAAAATCTTATCTAATAGTCCATTACTGAGAAGCAGATATTTTGGGGTGGCAAAAGGGATACCCCAAATACAGGAAAACCTGAAAGAAAAGCAGAAGCCCTGCCAAGGGGAGCATCTGAAAATATAGGTCTAGGATTTTAGCAGAACCTATACTTGATCCAGGTGAAATTGCTGCAGAATACTTGCATTTAGTATAAATGAGTAATAAATGAACAATATAATGTTTTTGACCCATTTGTTTAATTGGATTCTCTTTATCAAGTTTTAGGACATGTGTGGAGAAAAGATCACATTTTAGGTCATATTTATGCAGAAATATTAACAATTCAAAAGGATTCACAAACTTTTAAGCACCGCTATATACACACATACATGTAAATCACAAGTACAAGAATACAATTTTGTGTTTGAGAGAGGTTGCTGTATACAGATAGGGCATAAATTGTATAAATGGAGAATTATAAGTTATATTAAGTTTAATTACTAATCAATTCAATTTTGTTCTGGTGCCCTACCTGTTTTTGGAGTGTTGTTTTTCGGCAGATATATACAAACATAACTGATGCATAAACCAATGTATTTGTCATATAATACAATTTATTAGGGGGAATTTCCTAGGTTGAAAAAGTGGGGAAGTTGAGCGCTACACAGGATATTAGTCTGGTTTTTTTCCTAACTACTTTTTTTTTGTTTGTTTCTTGTAGTGTTCATCTTAAATTCAGAGTTGTCTTCCTCCTAGGAGAACACAGTAATTGTGGTTGACAGAATGGCTACAAGGATGGCTACATTATAACCTACAATGAAATACAGAATTATTTGAAAATAGAATTTTCTTTTTACGAACCTCCCACAGAGATTACACCCACATGCCTCCTCCTACTGTTCATTTCAGGACCAAAAAACCAGCTATTTTTATTTATTGAGTAGCATTCAATACTGCGAAATGGGTCACCTGATCCACCACGCCCTCCAACACAGAAAAGGACACCTAATAGGAAAAATGGAATGGAAAATAATACCTTATTTGATAAGATTTAAACAACTAATTATATAAAATTCAGTGGGTATCAAATTACTAAATAATGCATGCTGAACTCATTCACATAATTCTACAGAACAAGAATTTTTCACATCTATACCACTGGCGTATCAGGAAAAAATAAGATACCTGCTGTGTGTTTCCTTGGTGTTGTCCGAATAGAATATTCAAAATCTGGTACTGTATGACTACTTAAATGAAGATGGTAGTTTCTTGCTTCATCTAACAAATCCCTGCATTTTAAGTTCTGCTTGACTATTTTTTCTTTTGCTACAACTCCCATAAGGAAACAAACAGGCAACAGAGGCAAGCGTACCTAGGGGAACAAACATAAATGATGAATTGAACAGCATCAAGATCTAAATTAACATCTTCCCATTATCACACTTTGACAAACAAGAGAATGCCATACTGCAGAACATTTTTGTTCCTACTGCTGTGCTATCCAAGAATATGGGAATTTTGCCTACTCTGATCAGATAGATGACATAGTGTCAGCAATGAATTATAAAAATAAATAACATTTATTTAGCAACAAGTCTGGTTGGTTCAACTAGTTTTAACGATTTAATTTTATCTAGCCAGTACAAGGGTACAATGTGCACATTTCATTAGGACAAAACTACAATGCAAGTGCAGGCTGGATGGATAACATCAAGCACTCTGAACTATTAGAGATACTAGCCAAACCAATTCCTAACGGCCTACTGGTTGAAGGAGTCCTGAAAGAACTGAATATCTTCTAAGCTGAATAACTAAAAGCCTGCATTGATAGAAAGTCTGCCAGGTTAAACATCATGTAGTAAAGATTAGCTCCATTAATGAGCCTACCAGGTACTGTCATTTATTCAAGATGAACTACAGAAATTATGCTGCTCACCCTAGCAGCAGGCAAGCCCACACTAAATGGATAGGGAATATCCTTGAGGACACATGATAATAAATTTAATTCCAATTCCCCTATTAGGCATTCTCTGGCCATCTCATCTCTATGCTGCGGGTTCTCATTTACATAATTATATAGTGCAGGATTGTCAAGATTGAACAAAAGCTGTAACAACAATGGCATTCTTCTGGCTGCTTATTTTCAACCTGGAGGCTTAGGCTGATCTAATCAGTAACTGGTTGGCAGAATACCAGGACATATGAGGGGTGCAGGTTAGATTAATGGAAACCCACTTCCATTTTGTTGCCAAGACTAAATGGACATAAGGAGTTGAATCTAAAGGGTACCTGTTTGGCTGAAGTTAGAGAACCACCTGTGCCCGGTTTATACATATATCATTAAGGACCGCATAAAGGAAATCTGGATGTTTGGAAGTACCATCATAAGTGAGGAAATACTATCAGAGAAACAATACAGGTGATTATAGCTATTACTACTTTGTTATGACAAACTATAATATTAACAAAATGTTTATCCTACTCTCATCTGGTTCTTACCTGAGCAACTATTTCATCTAACCATAAAGCATGGTGCTGGGGATTGGCCAAAAGCCATTTAATAGCAGCACAATAAACTTGCTTTTCATTCTCAATGCTCAGGTCACTTGAAGACAAGAGTTTATGAAGGTGCTGAGGTGATACACTCACAAAGTCTTCACATTCCACCACTTCAGCAAAGTGTTCACAGGCATAGCGGTCAGCCATGTCCATCAAGTCAATACGGTTGTGACTCTCTGCAAAGGCCCTCACTGCCAGGCAATTTGAAGGATGAAAATGCAGCTTCATGTACTCACAGCAAGCTTTGGCCACTATCTCCACTTGAAGAATGCAGGCAGCATATAAGATAGGCTGGACATTGTCAACTGTCAGCGTTAGTCGGGATGAATACACAAACTTGACCAAGTCTTCAATGGCATCACCATCAAAATCTTTGATTTCAATCAATGACTGTTTAGCTTCTGCCATTTCAGAAAGAAACATGGCTTTGAAGTAAGGTATAACACAAGCCAGGGCAAGCTTGTGACAGGAAATCAACTTTGAACCCACCTGCAAGGAAAATATATAAGCATGTTAATAGTAGCTCACGTTAGCTTAAAGCAAAAAGGGAACTGCTGCTAAATAAATTATTGTCTTGAACACCGAAGAGGATTTTTAAAAATAGCTTCTACTGATATTGTTCTGACCACACTACTATTTTCAAGCCCAGAACATTTCCAGTAAGACCAGGATAGCTGATCAACCTCAAATTTCAAATGTGAAGTATTTAAAAATCCCAAAGCGAGATGACAAAATAATAGATGCTAGAATTGGAATTCAGGTGCCCCCCCGCCCCCATTATTTCATCAAGCTACTTTGGCTCATTATTTAAAGGTACAAAGTCCACAAATTAAATAGAATGTTTAAAAACATGTTTACTAATATTTCAGTAAACTGAAAAGTTCTTGCAAATACTTTCATTTTACTTCCACTGCTAGAAAGAGTTACTTATCTCACCGGTGTAAATTTTTTTGGTTTTCACTTTTTTCCCCCACCTGCAGGTAGTTTACTATTACCGTATTTTTCCAACTACAAGATGATACTTTTTTCTAAAATCCTCATGCTAAAAATTGAAGGGGGTCTTATTCAAGGAAGTAAGGCGAGGAGAGAACCGTGCAGTTGCAAAACTGCCCATACATTGTCTCTGCAAACAGACTTCCTCCCATCCCCCGCCTTATGTAAATGACGTCCGCTGATGCTGAACAAACTAATTAGAGGAAGTCTGTTTGCAGAGACAATGTATGGGCAGTTTTGCAACTGCACGGTTCTCTCCTCGCCTTACTTCCTTGAATAAGACCCCCTTCAATTTTTAGCATGAGGATTTTAGAAAAAAGTATCATCTTGTAGTTGGAAAAATACGGTAATAGTAAACTACCTGCAGGTGGGGGAAAAAAGTGAAAACCAAAAAAATTTACACCGGTGAGATAAGTAACTCTTTCTAGCAGTGGAAGTAAAATG